CTGCTGAAGGTTAACAGGAAAACCGCAGCAGTCAATGGGCTTTGCTTGGTATGTGGGAAAGGAGGGTGCAGAAGCCGAAAGACAATGGCTTACCATGGCCTCATGCAAGCCAAATTCTGTTGCCCGGACCTGAGTCTGTGATCTCTAACACCAAAGCCACAGGCATTCAATATTAAGATGGAAAATGCGACCTTGTATTGAAATCACATGTGCTATGTCAATAGTGTTGTTCACCGTGAAAGAATATAAGCATTGTTCTGTAAAATGTATCTTTTTAAAAACTTCTCTCCTTTTTTCCATCCCTCCGGCAGCTGCAAATTTTTCAAGCCTCCCTCCTCCGTCCCGAAAGCTATCTCAGATAAGGCGACGGAGAAAGAGGACGCATGACAAGATGTTCTCGGAAATAATGGAATGCACCCGAAATGAAAGACCACATTTGAATGAGTGGAAGGACACGGTATCTAAGGAAAGATGCCAGTGAATGTGAGTTCATGAGGGACGCTCGAGATGAGAGGTGGCAGGCTGCAACGCTGGGGCTGCTGCGTGATCAAACGGACATGCTCCGGCGTCTGGTGGAGCTTCAGGAACGGCAGCAGGATAACAGAGTGCCGCTGCAGCCGCTGTATAACCTCCCTCCCCCCCTCACCATGTTCCATAGCCTCCTCACTCAGACATGTAAGAACGCGAGGGGAGGAGGCTCTGTGCACCCTCCCAGTCCACCCCAGTGGATAGCCCAACCAAAAGGCTGTCATTATATTGAACTTTTACTTCCCCCCTATCCTCCTCCCAAACCCCACCCGGGCTACCTTATCGGTTCTCTCCCTATGTTTATAATCAATTAATAAAGAATACATGATTTTTAAAAGATAGTGACTTTATTTCCTTTAAAAGCAAGCTGATTTAAGGGGGGAGGATGGTTTGCTTACAGGGAATGAGTCAATCAAGGGGGCGGGTTTTCAACAAACAGAACTTTCACACCGTAGCCTGGCCAGTCATGAAACTGGTTTTCAAAGCTTCTCGGATGCGCAGCGCTTCCTGGTGTGATCTAATCGCCTTGGTGTCTGGCTGCGCATAATCAGCAGCCAGGCGATTTGCCTCAGCCTCCCACCCCGCCATAAAGGTCTCCCCCTTACTCTCACAGAGATTGTGGAGCACACAGCAAGCAGCAATAACAATGGGGATATTGGTTTGGCTGAGGTCTGAGCGAGCCAGTAACGAGCACCAGCGACCTTTTAAACGTCCAAATGTACATTCTACCACCATTCTGTACTTGCTCAGCCTGTAGTTGAACAGCTCCTGACTCCTGTCCAGGCTGCCTGTGTACGGCTTCCTGAGCCATGGCATTAAGGGGTAGGCTGGGTCCCCAAGGATAACTATAGGCATTTCAACATCCCCAATGGTTATTTTCTGGTCCGGGAAGTAAGTCCCTTGCTGCAGCCGTTTAAACAGAGTAGTGTCCCGGAAGACGCGAGCGTCATGAACCCTTCCCGGCCAGCCCACGTTGATGTTGGTAAAACGTCCCTTGTGATCCACCAGTGCTTGCAGCTCCATTGAAAAGTACCCCTTGCAGTTTATGTACTGGGTACCCTGGTGCTCTGGGTTCCATCTATCGCCCCACCACAGTTAGGGAATCCCATTGCAGCAAAGCCATCCACTATGACCTGCACATTTCCCAGAGTCACTACCTTTCGTAGCAGCAGCTCAGTGATTGCTTTGGCTACTTGCATCACAGCAGACCCCACAGTAGATTTGTCCATGCCAAATTGATTCTCGACTGACCGGTAGCTGTCTGGCGTTGCAAGCTTCCTCAGGGCTATCGCCACTCGCTTCTCAACTGTGAGTTCTGCTCTCATCTTGGTATTCTGGTGCTTCAGGGCAGGAGAAAGCAAGTCACAAAGTTCCATGAAAGTGCCCTTACGCATGCGAAAGTTTCGCAGCCACTGGGAATTGTCCCACACCTGCAACACTATGTGGTCCCACCAATCTGTGCTTGTTTCCCGCACCCAGAATCGGCGTTGATCATGATCTCCAAAGCACCAGGGCTCGCGGTTTGATAGAATTCCATGTCCTCATCACTCTCGCCACCGCGCTGCCGTAGCCTACTCCTCACCGCCTGGTTTTGCAGGTTCTGGTTCAGCATAAACTGCACGATAACGCGCAAGGTGTTTACAATGTTCATGGCTGCTGTCTTGAGCTGAGCGGGCTCCATGCTTGCCTCCGGGAAAAAGGTGCAAAACGGTTGTCTGCCGTTGCTTCCCTGGAGAGGGGGGAGGATGTACCCAGAACCACCCGCGACAATGTTTTTGGCCCCATCAGGCATTGGGATCTCAACCCAGAATTCCAATCGGCGGAGGAGACTGAGGGAACTATGGGATAGCTATGGGATAGCTACCCACAGTGCAATGCTCCGGAAATCGACACTCGCCCCAGTACATGGACGCACAGCGCCAAATTAATGTGCTTAGTGTGGCCGCATACATTCGACTTTATACAGTCTGTTTCCAAAATTCGAATTATATAAATTCAGATTAATCTTGTAGTGTAGACATACCCTTAGACATTGCAATGCCTTTGAACACACCTATCAGATCAGGCCCCATTCAAGCTCCTTCACACCATTGTTTCTCTCCCTGTGTGGTGTGGGGGCAGGGTGAGAACAGCTTGGGGGTTGGGTTAGAAGCTGGTGGGAAGGTGCTGCAGTTTAGAACTACACAAATCCTCAAAGGTGATGCTTTCCTATTCCTTTGCACAAACCATTTGAATTATGCCTTTCTTCCTATCCCACTTCTTCCTCAAGTACTGCAGATGATTTGACAGGACAGAGCACAAGTCAGTCTCAAAGTGCGCAAATGGCCCACGTAGTCCTGCATATGTCAGCCTGGGCACTCATTAGCACTCATTCCTTTCCAGACTTATAGACTCGAGAGAATGGCAAGACCTGTGTGACACTACATCCCATATTCTTCTTAGAGCTATTATTGATATGATTATGGCATAATTCTGATGTATTTTATGCAAGATAAGTCATGCCAGATATCATTGAAAAGGTTATGATTTACTGAATATGATTATCCTAGTTGTATGCATGTATCATTTTTGTATCTGAAGTTAGGAATATGGCTATGTATCTGTGTTACAAATGTGTTTACACATGGGGAATGCCCACTAGACAAAAGACTCAGTCTAGATGGCTGGCTGGGAAGGGCCATTCAAGTTAATGAGCCATTAGGAGAAAACAACAGGCCTTCGAAGAAGCTTATCTCCCACCAGGGAGCCTTCCTGAGAACATTACAGACAGCCTCTGAGTTATGGCTGCTGTGACACTACAGGGCCATGTGACCTGGTCATCTGGTGCTGGACTCCATTTTGGGATACCAGTGTTTTTCCATTGACTGGCGTGGAAACAAAGCTTTGAAAGAAAGGGTTCCCACCATATGCAAAAGCTACATAATGCAGTGGAGTGACATCATTGTGGTTCTTCACGGCCTCCCTTCCCAAGAAGACTCCTGGAAACACCTGAGGAACAAAGACTGAATGGGGGGGAAGTGTTGGACCCAGGCTAAAGGGATTTTTAGCCTGTGAATGAAACACCTGGGGATTCCAAGTTGTAAATTGGTGCAGCTTGCCCCTTAAGAATCTGCAGCCTGCTCGGATCATCACTTAAGGTGAGGATCTGCTATTCATATCCAATTTCTTTAGTATATTAAGCTTAGTTTGTTTATTTGCTAGGTAATCTCCTTTAATCTGTTTGCTATCCCTTATAATCACTTAAAGGCTATCTTTTGTAGTTAATAAATTTGTTTTTGCTTTGTCTAAAACCAGTGTGTGAGGGAGTCATAACTTGGGGCAAAAAGCTGTTGTATATTTCCTCTCCACATTGAGGGAGGGGGTGAATTTCATGAGCTTACATTGTACAGTTCTCTGTGCAGCACAGGACGGTATAATTTTGGGTTTAAACCGCAGGATGTGGGGGTGGTACCTGAATAGCTGGGAAGTTCCTTAGCTGAAGCATCCTCATGCAGAGCTGATCACAGCTGGGTGTGTCCCTACCTGTATGTGTGCTGGTAAAAGTGCAGGCTGGAGTCTGGGAGGAGGCTTGGCAGGCTGGTCACAGCAGTACAGTATACAGGGAGCCTAGGCTGATGGCTCAGTGGTACCCCAGTTCCAAGTGGCACCCCAGGGGGATCCCGTCACAGTCTGACATCCCAGTCCCAAAGTTCTTCAGCTGGGATTTGGATGGGTGTTGGACCTAGAACACTCCTGTTCCAAAACTGTACAAGCTGTTCTTACTAATAGCAGGAAGGACTCCAGCAGTCCTATGTGGAAGCATTTCTCTACCTGGGCCCAGCAGCACCATATGTCTCCTGAGACCATAGATATTCCCGATACTTTGGATTGCCTCCTTCCCCTCAGAGTGATGGATCTTTCCCTTAGCTTGATACGGGTTCACCTGGAGGCAATCAGCCCTCCAACGAACAGTCTTTACTCACTCAATCACCTCCAGAATTCTTAAGAGTCTTAATTAGAACTTTTCCATCAGCTAGAAGACCAACCTCTCAATGGGACCTTAATTTTGTATTTTCAACACTTACCAAGCCTCCTTTTTAACACCTGGCCACTTGCTCGATGTCTTACCTGTCTATGAAGGTTGTCTTCCTTCTTGCCAACATACCTGGGCCAGACACGTAGGTGAAGTGGGAGCCCCAATGGCAGACACCCATTACACAATATTTCATAAAGATAAGGTCTCACTAATTAACCCCTAGTTTCAGAATTACATATAAACAAGATTATTCACTTACCTGTGTTCTTCCTGAAGCACCAAGCCTCCAGCATAGAAAAGAGACTTCATTTCCTTGACATGAGATGAACTTTGCCATTTTACCTACAGAGAACAAAACAGATCAGAAAGTTACCGATGCACTGGTTGATGCCACAGCAGAACAAGCCCTAGGTCAAGCTGTTTCCTCCCAAAGGACCTCCAAGTTTACCTCTGTCTGTATCCTACTTTATCATCAGCTGGCACACCTTCCTCTCCCACATGGTATATGGGCTCATTCTATGAGAGCCAGGCAGCTTCGATGGCATCACTTCAAGAAGTATCTTGATATTTTCAAGGCAGCAAGGTGGACTTCCATTCACACATTCATAAGACATTATGCCTTGGTCCAAGCCTCTACTGATGCATCCTTTGGAAAAGTGGTTCTGTGAGCAGCAATCCACCTACATCCTTTCACCTTCCTCCTCTATGAGTACTTGCTTGTCAAGTTGCCAGTCACTCACAGTGGAATATCCATAGTGATCAGCACTCAAAGTAAAAAAGGAAATTACTTACCTTTTGTAACTGGAGTTCTTCAAGATGTGTGCGCTGTATCTGTATTCCACTACCCACCCTCTTTCCCGCTCTGCTTCAGGTCCTCTCTGATTTGTGGTAGGAGGAAAAACTGGAGAGACATAAGCCTGCACCGCCCCTTAAACCTTCAGCACAGAGTATGAGGAGAGCAATGGTGCAGGCAGGCATGGACCAACGGACTCTACTTGCTAGAATTCTCTGGTCTCAGGCACATGGAGCACATATGTACCCATAGTTGAATACAGGTAGGGACCACATCTCTTGAACTCCAGTTATGAAGGGTAACTTCCCTTTCATACCTTACAGAGTTTTGTTTCAAGCTGTTTGCAAACTCAGGGAGACATCGCTGCAGTGGTTCACATTTTAAAGATTATCTTTGTAATCATCTGGGCCAGACACTTCATTAATTTTTAATAGAAGTTTAGGTGCTGGAGCACAAGCTGGCAGCCACAACAAAAAACAAACAAACAAAAAACCTCATCTTGCTAAGCTACTGTGAGCTGGTGAAATGCAACTCCTAGATTACAGTTCCTTGCTCCAATGTCTCCCTCTTCCCAATAGTGACTTTTCTTCCCATCCTGGATGCTCTCCTTTGATCCAAAGTTCAAAGCATTGACTTCAGAAGGAGCATTTCTGTTCATTTCAGAGGGCTCTGACTAAGACCCTTTGTTCCTTCTTTGTCAGTAAAGTGCTTTTGGCCTCCTGTTTCAGCAGATCTTATCTCACTTTCAGCAGTATAGTCACCTACACCTACTGCTTCCCCAGCTTCGTTAATCTCAGAATTTACAGGGTGTCACACCTTGTGATACATCTGGTAGATTTTTGGAATTAATCACAGTTATGAGCTGTGACTTTTTGACATGGATTTTAATGATTTATTGAGATCTATTTAATCAAGAATATTTCTTGAAAAAATGTAGATTTCTGACACATCATCTCTTACACTTAAAAACTTTATGGTTTAAGACCCAGTTTTTAGCAGTGTTGATATAAACTTACATGGGAGTAGGATTACCCTATGGAGACTAGACAGAGTGTGGACTTCAGGTTTCCTAAATGCTATACAGTATTTCACTTAATTACTAGCTAGTGTTTATTCCACATAAGGCGACGGAGAAAGAGACACAAGAGGTGATAAAACAAAGACTTCGTTCACCCAGCCTATGGTACTAAAGTCCAGTTAACCTTTAAAGTACTAGTCTGCAGTGCATACAAAACAGAACAACAAATCTGAGGGAAACAAAATAAATATATTTCAAGGCACTGTAAACATGCTTTGTATGAAATTCACTGTATGCAAAGTTTTTCAGTTTGTCTGTAGTGTTTTAGATCAAAGATTTTATTGCAACTCTCTGAGGAACTACTTAACATATTCTTTTCCAATTTGCTTTGCCTTGGAGATCTCACTAAAGGTTTTATCTATACCTAACAGTTACACCAGTTTAAGTAAATTGATACAAAAAATCAATTTAACCCCTGCTGTACATACACTTAAACCACTTCAACCATTGCTTAAATTACAGATGCAAAATAAAGCAAATTAAGCAAGGGTTAAACTGGCTAAATATATCAGCATTACATGTTTACACTGATTTACCTTGACACATTTTAAATAATCTTGATTTCAACAGGTGCAACTTTTTTGTATAGACAATACCTAAGACTGAAAAATTAGACCAAGTTTGAAAACTTACATTTCTGAAAAATATTAGAAATTCTGATTTGTATTGCATGATCTGTTTTATTGACAGATAATTTAGTATGTTACAAAGAAAAAAGCATATGTAAGGTATTTTGTTTACCTGCCGCGTCCGCAGGTTCGGCCAATCGTGGTTCCCACTGGCCACGGTTTGCCGTTCCAGGCCAATGGGGGCTGCGAGAAGCCGCAGCCAGCACATCCCTCGGCCCGCGCTGCTTCCCACAGCCCTCATTGGCCTGGAATAGCGAACCGCGGCTAGTGGGAGCCGCGATCGGCCGAACTTGTGGACGCGACAACTAAACAAACCGGCCCGGCCCGCCAGGGGGCTTACCCTGGTGGGCCACGGGCCGAAGATTGCCGATCCCTGGTATAAACAAAGGGAACAAAGTTGAGGGTTGAGCTTTTAAGCTTTTAATTTCTTGATTTCTCAGCTTTCATATTGCATTAATGCTAGACGTTTTTCTTCATGGAATAGATAATAGTTTTGATCTGTATAATTAAATAAATTGCAGAAAAAAATCCTGATTTAAAAGGCTATGCTAATTATACAAGATCATCTTAAAAGGGAATCTAAACAAGTACAGTAACTCTCCATTTAATGTCCTCTTGCTTAACGTTGTTTTGACCTTACGTCCCTGCTCAATTACAGAATATGCTCCATTTAAAGTTGTGCAATGCTTCTCTATAATGTCGTTTGGCTGCCTGCTTTGTCCACAGCTGGCAGCCCCCCTATCAGCTCCCTACGCCTCCCCCCACAGTGCCTCCTGCCTGCTGGCAGATCCTGCGGATCAGCGCCTTCCCCCTCCTTCCCGTGCCTCGTGTCCGGGGCAGTCAGCTGGCTTGCAGCATTCAGGAGGGAGGGGGAGGAGCGAGGACTCGGTGCGCAGGCTCCCCCTCCCTCCCAAACACCACAAACCAGTTGATTGTCGCAGGCAGGAGGCAGGGGAGGGAGGGGGGAGCCTGTGCGCCGAGTCCTTGATCCTCCTCCCTCCCTCCTGCCCCCTGAACGTCGCAAGCCAGCTGATTGCCAGGGGCAGGAGGGAGGGGGGAGGAGCGAGGACGCGGCATGCAGGATCCCCCCCTCCCTCCCCTGCCTCCTGCCTGCGGCAATCAGCTGGCTTGCGGTGTTCAGGAGGCAGGGGAGGGAGGGGGAGCCTACGCGCCATATCCTCCCTCCTCCCCCCTGCCTCCTGAACACTGCAAGCCAGCTGACTGCCCTGGGCAGGAGGCAGGGAATGGAGGAGCAAGAACGCAGCGTGCGGAGTAAAGGGGGAGGAGGAGAGGGAGGAAGAAGAGGTGGGTTAAGGGTGGGGGCTTGGGGGAAGGAGTGGCATAGGCGGGCCGAGAGTTGAGCCCCCCGCCCCTGGTGCTTGCAGAGTAGGGGAAGCTGCCGCTACTGCTTCGCAACGTCCTTCACCTAGCCAACAGCACCTTCAGCCTCCTTGCCTGCCTCATTGTCTCCAGTGTCAGTGGGCTGTGCCTGTGTGGGGTAAGGTGGGGACACCTCCCAACTATACTCCTGTACTGTATGGCAAAAAAAAAATTTCCTTGGAACCTAACCACCTCCATTTACATTAATTCTTATGGGGAAATTGGATTCACTTAACATCGTTTCACTTAGTCACATTTTTCAGGAACATAACTACAACGTTAAGTGAGGAGTTACTGTATTAGACCCTGTGAATTGTCATGTATTTATAGTGTAAATATTAACCATACTCTGCTGTACTCTTAGAGAAAATGACTTGCATCCATTTAACCCTCTCTAACCTTATAAAGAACACAGAGACTCACCCTTGGCAGGTAAAAGCTATAGCTTTATTTACAGTAACCAACCATTTCAAAATAGGTCAGTGCACATTCATACAATCATTATCCCAGCAGAAATGGAGACTTCATGGATCACATCAGTGATCAAAGCTGTGGTCTACACCAGTAGTTCTCAAAGCCGGTCCGCCACTTGTTCAGGGAAAGCCTCTGGCGGGCCGGGCTGCTTTGTTTACCTGCGGACGTAGCAGGTAAACAAACCTGCCCGGCCCGCCAGGGGCTTTCCCTGAACAAGGCGGACCAGCTTTGAGAACCACTGGTCTACACTACAAATTTATGATGGCATAACTACCTCGCTCAGGATTTTCCACACCCCTGAGGAACATAGTTATACACCAACCTAGCCCTCGGTATAGACAGTGCTATGTTGATGGGAGTGTGATTGCTTCTTGCGGAGATGGAGTACCTATGCCACTGGGTCAAATAAAAGATATTACCTCTTCCATCTTCACTAAGAACTACAGTGGCACAACTGCACCGGTGACTGAATAACATGTCCTGTTAGCTAACAGATAAGAGAAGACCCTTTTGAATAGTGGCCCATTAGATCTATTAATATATATCCAGGGCAGAAATGATCTTGGTTTTTAAGGACTTATCTGAAAGATTCACACACAACAAATTGTATAATAATATGTTGAAGTATTTTATGAAGGTGAATAAATATCTTTAGCTGAACTCCTGCCAAAATTCAAACCTGTGGTTCCTGGATGTCTAAGGCCTAGTTTACACACAAATTTTATGCTAGCATAACTATTTCATTTAGCGGTATGGGTTTTTTACTCTCAAAAATAGTTATACTGCTACAGCCCCTAGTGTGGATGCAGTTATACTAGTATAAAGGTGCTTCTACTGGTGTAGTTTATTCTACTTCCTGTTGGCTGTATGTGGAAAAAAGTACACCAGTAGAAGCATCTTTATACCAGAATAACTGTGTCCATACTAGGTGTTTATGTTGCTTTAACTAAACTGATATGTTTAAATCGACAATAAATATTAATATGTATTAAAGCACAGTTATATATTAGACCACTGGACTATGGGTGGGCCAGACACTGCACTCCACTCTATCCTGTAGTCAGGGGTGAAAGTAAGATAAAGGACTTACCGGTACACTGGAGTCCTGAGCAGGGGCGTGGCCTCAACCGGAAGAGGCGTGGCCTCAACCAGAAGAGGTGGGACCTTTAAATCAAGATTTAAAGGTCCTGGGGCTCCAGCTGCGGCTGAGAGCCCCAGGGCCTTTAAATCACCCCTGGAGCTACCAACTGCAGAGGTGGCTGGGAGCCCCGGGCCCTTTAAATCGCTGCCTGAGCCCCACTGCCAGAGCCCCAGGGTAGCAGCGGCAGGGCTCCGGTGGTGATTTAAAGGACCCGGGGGCTCCAGCTGCTGTGGGGAGCCCCAGGCCCTTTAAATCACCAGCCTGGGGAAGCCGGTCGGTCCAGCACGGCGCACCAGCACTTGCTGGTACACCATACCAGACCGTCTTACTTTCTCCTCTGCATGTACTATATACAGCTATGTAACTGCTATGGTCTTGTTGCCTCTGGAGTACAAATCTTATTTTCTAGGAGTCACTGTCCACTGATTGCAGCTGCCATTTTGTGTTCAGCACAGATGAAGTGTATTACAGAGGAAACAGATTGTACTCTTTCACAGAAACTTTACTTTTGTTTGTTATTTTCTAGTTTCCTTTAATCAAAAGTAAATCATTCAGAGTGAAAAGATGAGGTTGTTCTATATATGGAAAATACATACAATCTATCTCTATGGGACTGGTGATGTCTGAAAGTCAATGGGGAAATGCTGACTGTAAAGTTATGTTTGTTGTTCAGTATCATTTCACAGTACTGGGTAATGATTGTCCTATATGGCATCATCTATATTGGCAAAAATGGGACCAACAATTCATTACCAGTGGTAAAAAGAGTTATATGACATGGATACGTTTACCTGTGACTGGTCTACACTACACTACACTACACTACAGCTTCCTCAGTTGATACCAGAGGTGTTGGGTATGGCTTCTGTTTTTACCCATGTAGACACAGTCTGTCAGATCTCCCCTCAGCCAAGGCATTTTGGCAAAAATCTCTTCCCATTGCTGCTGCAGTGATGGTAACAATGGTAACTACTGTATATAGGGCTCCATGTTTTAACCACTGACCCTGTCACCTAACCCTGCTCAAAGGACGTTTATAGATGCCACAGAGTGACCACAGCACTACACTAGTGCTCCCACCATGGAGCCGAACTGATGCTGCAAAATAATGGTGGAAACTTTTAAGGTGGGGGGAGGAGGGGAGAAACGCTGGTGTTGACACAGCCTGAGAGTAATTTCAGTTGGAGTCACCCTTGTGCTGCAGCCCGGGCCAGAGGGGTGAGTGGGTAGGTGACTGTGAAGGGGCTAGGTGAGGAATTTAGCTTGACCGAGTTGTAGAGGGTAAACTAGAGCAGTAGCTGGGGGGATTAGCCGGAGTTGCCAGGCTGCACTGGAGGGGAAGCGGTTGTGTGTGGCTGTAGCTGTGCTGGGAGGAGGCGGGTGCCCCTGTGGGGGAGGGGGGCAGTAGAGGGTGTAGCTATGGGCTGTAGCTGGGTGGCATGGGCCCGTAGCTGTGTGCAGGGGGAGGGATGGGTGTATCGCTCCGTCTGGGGCTGTCCCGTTGCTGCGAGTAATTGCTGTGTCGGAGTCAGTGACTCTTTGTCTCTAGTTTCAGAGTGGTAGCCGTGTTAGTCTGTGTCAGCAAAAACACCGAGGAGTCCTTGTGCCACCTTAGAGACTAACATTTATTTAGGCATAAGTTTTCGTGGGCATCTGATGATGTGGGTTTTAGCCCACGATAGCTTATGACCAAATACATTTGTTAATCTCTAAGGTGCCACAAGGACTCCTCCTTGTCTTTGTATCTAGTCTCCGCTCAGGGGTGGGGAGTGCCCGGGAGGCGGTAGCCGCCCCTGTGTGTGTATCATGAGGGAAGGGGGGCAGTGCCTGTGCGGTGTGTGTATCAGGAACAAGTGCGGGGTGTGTGTCCCGGGGGAGGGAGCAGTGCCTGCGGTGTGTGTGTGTCCCGGGGAAGGGGGCAGTGCCTGCGGTGTGTGTGTGTGTGTGTGTGTGTGTGTGGTCCCGGGGGAGGGGCAGTGCCTGTGCGGTGTGTGTGTGTGTGTGTGTGTGTGTGTCGTCCC